ACCTATTCTAGCTGAGGCTCTTCTCTACATTCTTTGCTTTATGGAGCCTTCAGAAAGCATCTTATTCTCATCATTCACAAGCCACTATCACAAGTAAATTTGCCTCTTACAAGCTCCGTTTTTAAATTGTGACAGCAGCATGTCCCCTTCACTGACAATTAACTTAGCCAGGCAGGCCAAGCATAGATGCACGGGAACCCTGTGGCTGCGGCTTTGATGCGTTGGGAGGGATAATTGAGTGGTGCAACAACAGACCCTGGCCTTGTTCTCTATGGCCCAGCCTTCACCATCGTTCACCATCTATATAAAGTTCACTATCTATGAGCTGTCAAGGCCGGTCTTAGAGCAGTCAGTGTTAAAGCCACAGCTGGTGCAGTCAACTACACAATGTCTACCTCATCTCACTGTGGGGGAAAAGCTACAGAATTCAGCACAGCCACAAACAGCTATTAGCCTGTTTTTTATTAGACAGGCACATAGGCGTCAAAGAGGATACTAGATTGACCAACTGTACTGAAACTTAAAAATCTCTTTACTTTCAGAGAGCACAAACATCTGCATCTGATGCAAAGTCGTAAATGTTATTTTATTCCTTCATGCACTAATTAAACTGAACACAAGACGGGTAGTGTAGAAGCTGGGTGCCACCTCTGTGTCACAGTTCCTTCAGGTAATCGTGGCCGTTTTAGGTTGGAGGGTTAAGCAACAACGTTTTGTGTTTTTATCCATTTCAGTTACATTTCACCACACTACTTGTTTAAAAAATACACATCCTTCTTTAGTGCCATTTCTAAAATGTCGTGACTGCTGCTGAATATTGTATGTTTTGCCTGGACACAAATGTTGTACAATCTTTTATTGATTTTCGCAACCATGGGAACCCAGTGATATGGAATGTGCAGTTGTATACAATTTTTACAAATAACAGATAAAAGGTATATGCATTTTGCAATCACATGTTCAATGGCACTTAAGAACAATTTGACTGGAGGAAGCTCTATTTGTTTTCCCTTTCTATTCTTCAGCAGCGAGTTCTTGAAGGCTCTTAAGAAGAAAGGAACTGAATGATTCCAGATTATTATGCAGCAGACAACAGTGCTTTTATATATGCACCAACAAAGGGATGGAATAATGATAAAGGAGGCAGGCTCAAAATGCTCATGCAAGTTAATAGGACTAATGCTGAATAAGTAGAAAAAAAGGTAACCCGACTTTACACTCAGTGGCTTAACAACATGTACAAACAGAGAAAACAAGTAGAGCAAGTTATACTATCAGGATGTAAAAATAGAGCTAGTGGTGAAATGACGACAAAAAAAGTATGTCAACAACATTTTTCACGATTGATTTTTTCTTTAAATCATTTATCGTGCAAACATAATTCTTCTCAAAGGTGAGGATTTGCAGCTTTACTCGGTTTGATACAATTGTACATTATTATTTGAAAATGTCACCCTGGGCATTTTTTTCTCACCAAACAATGCACTAAGATAATAAACAAGGGATTCGTCCAAATAAAAGTAATGATCATTTGAGTAATTATTAAGTGTCCTTTTTTTTGTTTAAAACTTAAGAAAAAGTAGCATCAGAACACTAAAAGAGGGAATTTAGACTTGTTTTATGGACGATGGAGGGCAAAGATGTTACTGTCAATACATGTTAAATCAGCTGCAAATGCTATAGGGCAAAGGAGCGGGGCCAATTCTGCACCAGGCACTTATATGGTAACTACTAGTTAGGTTTGTGGTATTTAATTTTAGAACTGAGCACACTGTACATGAGAGGTCTCTACCACTATAATCTTTATAATACATCCCAATGTATTTGATAAAAATGCAATGAAAACATTATCTCAGCTGAGGATCCTTTCATTGTATTATTCTTTTTTAATTGTTCTTTTTTTGGGGACTTCACAGTCACAGGTATACTCACACTTTCGTCCAGCTCTCATGGTGGCTTCCAGACTTTTAAGTTTGGCCACCAAGTCCTTTCTTTCTGAGTTCTTTCGAAGTAAATAAATGGACAGTGCACATGCATATTGGGTCGCCCTGAAATAAAGAAAGAAGACCGACAGAAGAAGGGGAGAAAGTTGGACATCCAATTAGTTGTTAGCCCTGCCTTTGCTGCACGCTTGTTCAGTAACTTCACTCCGTTTATCCACCGATAAAATACAACGTCGACGGTGTACGACCAGGTAACAAAACCTCTCACAACTTACCTGAATATACGGTCCCTTCCCTGACTTTGGCTTGTGAATTTTACAACCGCGTCCATGGTTGAATCAAACAAGAACAACTTGTTCTAGTCTGCTCGGGCAGAGTGGCAGCCTGGTTGAAAGACGGACACGGACATACGTTAACGTAAAGCTCAAATGTCTTGCTTCCGTTCCTAGTATGTCTCTTCGGGTTACACAACGTTAACAAAGGTGGTCTATCTAACGCTGCCGATAAAAACTCCCGCACAAAATCCGAATTTTGTTACTTCGTCCACGTTCACACTAAGCTAATTTTAAAGTCCATTTAGTCGTAAAATGTACTTGTTTCACTACGGGCAGCTTTTCAAACGGACCGAAAGCCGAGCGGGTTTTGTTGACGGACCAGCGCGTTACTATGGTTACTGTGGAAAAGTTTACAAGCACGTTTATGTGAAAGAAAACACGGTTTATTAAAATATTACGAGATGAAAATAAGCAACACAGTGTTGACTATGCGGCAAAAAACGGTCACTGTACATTAAATTAAAGCCGATTAATGTGCAATACCCGGGTCAATGTGCAATACACTTGATTATTATTATGTTATTCTGTAATTATTCAGGAATTCCTTGTATTTATCCATAACTTCTGTAAACCACAATCTTAAACTTATTGCTATTTAATTTGTCTTTTCTGTCACTGTGGAATACATTTACATTTTGTATACAGGCTCTTATTGTCTTATTATATCTCTTAGGCTCTTAATATATTTCTATTTCCATTTTTATTTGTGTCCTCACTTTTCTGTATATTACCTATAGCATACATACATTTCTATTCTATATATTGTGTTAAATCTTGTAAGTATTATTTCTAATTTTTACCATGTGTGAGTAGAACAACTGGTACAAACAAATATTCCCCCCGGGGATTAATATTAATAAAAGTATTTCTGCTTCTGACACCGATCAGCTAACGTTATAACATTACTTGTTACATGTGTTGAAAAAGAGAGGTGTACCTACTGGTTTTAAACGACAGGGGGCAATGTGGGAGTTGTTAGACAGGTGGTCAGATTTAAAAAACTCTTCAATGTTTGCACTTGCTTTAATTATTCCTGTTAAGCAGATATTGTCGGGTCATCCAGAACAGTGTACCGGTTAAAGAAAGACATAGATGTTCTGGGACTAATACTCAAAAAATGCCTTATGATTTCTCTTTCTTCTCTCTCTCTCT